TAGCTCAGTTTTATATGACTTTCAAGAGTGGAGAAAAAAATTACATTAAACTTATATAAAATTGTATTTTTCTTTGCAACCAAATGCTAACACTTCAATACACAAACATTCAACTCTAGGCCAACCTGTGATCTGCTTTTGCTCACATGAGTTATTTAATTAAATTAATAGGACTACTCAGCAATGAAAGGCAATTATAATTGGACACTGCTTAGAAATAAATGATAAAGGTTTAAGGTTACATTTGTGAAAATTGGTTAGTGGAGTTACAAATCTCGTCCTCTTGTCCTGAAGCTCAAACTTCAAAAAAATATTTGTAACCGAGACTTGAATTCTTCAGTTGGTGCGCTAGTGCTAAGTAGACATGGTGTGTGGAAACTTTAATGCTATTAAAAGTCATTTCCAAAATTGAAACCTAGGAAACAGGTGCAGGAGGAAAGCAGTAACTTTTAATTGCAGTCAAGGAAAGCTTCTTGCTGCAATCAGTTCTTTGCACGCATATTTAATTCCTGAAGCTGAATTCAGTATCTGATTTTCAACAGAATCTTACATGATTTTCTCTTTATGCCCATGACTGAGTGAATGTGAATTCTTGCAATCACAATTTTTCATCAATATTTAATTATAGGCATAATTTCAGCCATATAGTTGTCCAAGTGTCTGACTGCAATGAGGAAAGTAAATGCTGTTTTTACACATAACTACAACCACAACTGTAGGTGCCCACAAATTGTAGGCACACACACAAAGGCCAGGTTTGATAATCTGATTTTTAAGTGCAGTAAAATCTGGGCTATTATCCATTATCTAAATTCCTGAATGTCTCTGTATATAGATTGCTATTACTATAGCAATGTCACTAGAAGAGCATTTTCTAATGATGTGTCAATTTTCCTGCAATCTAACCTATTCAGCTAATATTATGGAGAAGTATTTTATAAAGCAGTTAACTGAATGTGGAGGTACAGATGTGACTAAACAAGTCCCTTAAACCATAATTTGCCAGGTCCTCTTGGCATCTTGAAAGTCCAAGTCTTGCAACATGCTACCTGTTTGTTGAATCTTGGTGTCACAGTCAGCTGGTGTTCCTTATCACAGAGAGAAGCCAAACCTTCAGCAATAATCTCAGCAAGACCTTGGATTTCACTGCAACAGGCTCATTCCCCCAACACAGTGCTGATACTACAGCCATCTATTTCTTTCTGGCAGAAGATCAACACAGTTATACAATTTGTGAGAGTCCACCCTTGTCTTTTAAAAGTGTAAAGAAACCACAAAATTATTTCTGACCCATTCTACTGAGCTGAAAATGACATCAGTACCTTATGTGTGGCAGTAAATTGCTAAGCTCTTCCATTTTTCCATAGCCCAGAATGTGTGGATTTTTTTGTGTCTACTGTACTCCTCAATTTCTCTCTTCGAAAAGGAAGTATAAGTTAAGCTGAGATTCAGAAATGCATATGTTTTACTTAAAAACATTCATCTGTTCAAAATTCAAAATAAACTTTATGGGATACAGTGTGTTTTTAAATAACATTTCATTCAAACTGTATATAATTCATTAAAGTATTCATACAGCAAACAATGGTTAACCCTTGAAAATGTGTAGAAAAAATTTTTCACACACAAAAAAGGAAAAACAAAATTCTGAGGTATCACACCCACACACATACACCCAAACACACACACAGGCTGCAGCAAAAGCAGAAAACTGTAGGCCCAAAAGAAAAAGATGATTGATTGTTCTATTAGTGAGTCCAGGTAGCTCAGGAAAAACAAAACAAAACAAAACAACCTCCTCCTCCCCCCACAATAGTCCTCTGAGTAAAGAACTACCTCAAAAAAGTTCAAGTGCATTGGAGACCTGATCACCTAAACTGTTTCTGCAAAGCAGCTCCCTGCACCTGAGAGAAATGCAGCCCAAGGTGACTTGTGCAAATATAAGGAATCAGTTGAGGCTATTTCCTGTTAGTCCTTAAACACACGAGGGGTGTCCAAAGAGTCACTTAGTCTTTTATCATGCAAGATACTGCTGGAGTGCTGTCTTCGCCCTGAAATCACAAACATTTAATTAATCATCAAATCTGTCGTTAAAAACCCAAACCACCCACATTTATCTCATGAGATTTTGTGCACAATGCCAGTTAGTGAGGGATAAATGGTTCATCTGGTAATAAAAGGTTGAACTATTAATACGTGAAGCCTGGAGTTTCTCAGCAAAAGTAGAGTCTAGTGATATTTGCGCTGGTTTCTTCAGCTAGAAGGAAAACTGTTTTATGCTATATGAGCAATGAGCATTGCTAAAACACACACTCTGGGTGTGTCTAGACTGGCATGATTTTCCGCAAATGCTTTTAACGGAAAAGTTTTTCCGTTAAAAGCATTTGTGGAAAAGAGCATATAGATTGGCACGGATGCTTTTCCGCAAAAGCACTTTTTGCGGAAAAGCGTCCGTGACAATCTAGATGCGGTTTTGCGCAAGAAAGCCCCGATCGCCATTTTCGCCATCGGGGCTTTTTGCGCAAAACAGTTTTTAGCTGTCTACACTGGCCCTCTTGTGTAAAAACATTTCCGGAAAAGGGCTTTTGCCCGAACGGGAACGTCAAAGCATTTGCGCAAGAAGCGCTGATTTTGGACGGTAGAACATCAGTGCTTTTGCGCAAAATCAAGCTGCCAGTGTAGACAGCTGGCAAGTTTTTGCTCAAAAGCAGCCACTTTTGCGGAAAAACTTGACAGTCTAGATACAGCCTGTGTGAGCTGGTAGTGAGTTAAGAATCCCACCTTCCACCTTACTTTAACAGGATCTAGTCCACTGGTCTGGAAGCACCCTAGAATGTGACAATATGGAAGAAGTGCATGTGCGCCATTTATCCCAGGACTGCACTAGTATCTTATACTGAGTTGTCTGTTCACTTTCATCCTAGATCCTTTTCAGAGTCATTGCTTCCCAGGATACAATGCCCTATTCTGCAGGTATGGGCTGCAGTGTTCATTCCTAGATGTATAATTTTGCAGTTGGTTGTATTTAAATGGCCCCTTGAAATATGTACCTACTTATGCTAAGCAATCCGTTCTACTTGGTCTGTGTAAGCTTAAAAGCTTCTCTCCCTAATATCCTGGGACTGAAAGGCTATTTACAGCACTGCATACAACACATGCATCTGCAAGAGTGGATAAATGATATTCAAGATTTTTTTAAAAAAAATAGGTGAGGATCCAGAAATCTCACGGATTTTTAATACGACATGGAACACTAGAAGAGTTCCAGAAAAGTGCTAATGTTGTGCCAATGTGTATGAGAGGGAGATAACCATCTTGAGTTCTGAACTGCCTTAGAACTTCTCATAAATCTTACTTAGCAAACATTCTTCAAATAAGTAGATGAATATCATATTTTATTCATGAGGCAGGACCTACCAATATAAAGGGAAAGTCAGATACAAATGTACAAAAAGGCCTGTCTCCTGCTAGTACTGTCTCATGGATTTTTCTGTAACCCAAACACTTTCAAAATAAGATGGATATTTTTAAGCAGCAGCACAGAATTCCCTCTGATCTCTATTTTGGGGGTTCTTTGATACTTACTTGTCACAAAGGTTTGGATCTGATGATTGACTCAGTTTGTGTAAGATATCTACTATTCCAATATCTCGTAGTTTATCTTGGCGTTCTTGTGAACCTAAAAAAAATGTTAGTGAAGATAACATCAAACAAGTGATTTATTTAGAAGAATTGGAGGCAGGTATAAGCTATGAAGGGGTATAATATGTGGATGCAAGTAAAAGGCTGAGCTAAGTCTACTTATCCTATGGCTGCTCTGTCTTTCCTTTTTGGAAGAAGCTACTCACATTTTTCGTGCATGAATAACTGAGAAAAAATTAAACAGGTAAGACCCTTAAGAGATTTTATTATAAAGTAAAGCGTTCTGGCTTCTTCCTTTCCAACTCTGTCTCTGATACACTAAGGCTGCGTCTAGACTGGCATGATTTTGCAGAAATACTTTTAACGGAAAAACTTTTCCGTTAAAAGTATTTCCGCAAAAGTGCGTCTAGATTGGCATAGATGCTTTTGCGCAAAAGCATCCGTGGCCAGTCTAGACGTGATTTTACGCAAGAAAGCCCCAATCGCCATTTTAGCCATCGGGGCTTTTTTGAGCAAAACAGTTCTTCCCTGTCTACACTGGCCCTCTTGCGCAAGTATTCTTGCGCGAGAGGGCTTTTTCCCGAGCGGGAGCGTGAAAGTATTTGCACAAGAAGCACTGATTTTGTACATAAAGTCAGTGCTCTTGCGCAAATTCAAGTGGCCAATGAAGACAGCTGGCAAGTTTTTGCACAAAAGCGGCCGCTTTTGCGCAAAATCTTGCCAGTCTAGACGCACCCTGAGTGTTTAGCTGAAAACTTGTCAAGAGTCAAAATTGTAGCACTCAGCATTCAACACAAGCTAATACAGGAAATCCAAATGGTGCAAATAAATTAAATTAATGGAGATTGCCTATAGAACTCCACTGGAAGGGACCTTGAAAGGTCATTGAGTCCAGTCCTCTGCCTTCACAGCAGGACCAAGTACCATCTCTGACAAATTTTTGCCCCAAATCCCTAAATGGCCTCCAGGAGGATTGAACTCACAACCTTGGGTTTAGCAGGCCAATGCTCAAACCACTGAGCTATCTCTCCCTTCCCACAGAGTATGAAGTTTCACATGCTGAAGTGATATTTGTTCTTGATGTACAACAGTCTCAAATTACTCAGCAAGAGAGCAGGAGATCCAACTACAAAACAAGTGTCCTTGTTGGGGAACACCACAGCAGATTTAGATTGGTGGTTACAAACCTCCAAAAGTCATATTGCCCCAACCACATCTCTGCTCTCCCCATTCACACCACCCCCTACCACTGCTCCCACTTCCTGCTCTACAACTCTAGGACCTTCCAAATCCTGTGTCATAGGATGCATCTGTACTGCAATGTAAACTGGACTGAGACTCAAGTTCCACCCCTGTATCCATCTGCACATAATTCTCTCTAATCTGCACCCAAGCCCAGGACCCCACAGGATGGAAGGTTTGAGCCCAGGCCCTTGCCATGATTTGGGTCCATCATTTTACAGTGTGGAAAGAGCTCAGGCCCAGGCCTCCTGGACTCAGTCCTGAGAGTGTCCACCAATGCCATTCCACACACCCACGGGATGTGCTTTGTATCCCAAGACTGGCAAACCAGTCCTCAGCAAATGGAAGCTATCCACTGGGTCAAGCACAGCTGCTCCATTTTTAACCCTTCCATTTTATTCCAACTGCTAGGCTGGTAGCAGAGTGAACCTTCTCCAGACACCAAAACAAAGAAGGCCTTTGCTAAGGTGCTGCTACAGGATGAACCTCTTTGGTCTGGGACCCTCTGGTTCGTCAAGACCCCGGATGTTGCTGGATCAGAAAGCCCCAGCTGGGAGAGGAGCGCAGTCTGGCCATCCTGACAGTTACCACAGGGCCTTACAACGGTCAGAAGACAGGATACTGGGCCAAATGAACCACTGGTCTGACCCAGAATAGCTATGCTGATGTTCTTAATGTTGGCATTGGTTTCACTGTTCAATGTAGGAATGTGAATAGGTAACTGATTAATGGGTGATGTTCATTGGGTAACAATTAGCCATTACCTGGGAGCAGCCCCACAGGGCTGGAAGCGACAGGGGGGCAAAAGGGGGGGATATGCCACTTCCGGCCCCATGCAAAGCAGCCAACTCCCAGACCATGCGTTCAGGGAGCTGGCAGCCCAGCGCAGGGCTGGAAGCAGCCAGGCTGGAACAACCTCTGCCCGCAGCACGAGGGCCGCTCCAGCCTGGCCGTGCCCCCCGTCTGCCTCCATTTAAATAGTTAAAAATTAACGTTTAACCAGTTAAATAATTATGGTTTATGCACTTTGTTTTGCTGCTGCTGTTTTGATTTTCTGATAGTAGCTAGTGTGCCTTACAATGGTTTAATAGCTCTCCCCATAAAGGCTCAGAATAAAGCTTTTAATTTCATGAAAAAATTGTACTATCATTACTGCATTATATCCTACAACATACATTTAAAATAATAAAGGTAAACACATAAGGGGCAACCAGTAAGTGGTAGCCAAACCCTATTTCTTAATATATTCCTCTCCTCAAGCCATATTATATAAATCCACAGTTCTTAGCCCCCATCCTCCATTGCATAAGCAGGCACGTCATCCACAAGCCCAGCAATCAATTCCAGCCCCACATATTCACCAAGTGAAAATGGCAATCCTTCATTTGTTGCAAACCCTGTATAATCACATATGTAAATGGATATTCTCCCTCTTCCATTGGGCCATGCAAATCCAGCATGTGGTTTCACAAAGCATCCCTGATTTACGTTGTCCTTGCGGAACCATTAAACTGTCACAGCAACCAGATGGAGTCTTAGTCTCATTGCCTTCCCTTCCCCTAGCCTCCCTATGGTCTACCACAATGGATACGAGACCCATAGGGGACTGCAAGCAGGTTTTAGGGGGGCCAAGCAGGGCCAGCATTAGATTCACTAGGGCCCAGGGAAGAAAGTCAAAGCCCTGCTGCATGCAAAGCTCTGAAGTCTGGGCAATGTAGCTTCTTGGGGACCTGCTCTGGCATAAAGCCCCAAGCAGCTGCCCTGCTTCCTACCCTCTAACACTGGCCTTGGCTTTTACATGCAGAACAATAATTATTGTGGCACAGGTGGGCCACACAGTTTTTACAGCAGGTGGGGGGAGCCTCAGAAAGAGAAAGGTTGAGAACCCCTGGTCTATCACACTCATGTGCTGGAACTTGCATTAGGGATGTTAAATATCGGTTAACTGAACAGTCGATTAACCTCATGAATTCTTATTGGTTACTCGACTATTCTATAGTCCCCACTCCCGAGGAGCCCCCTGCCTCTCCAGGCTGCTGCCTCTGTATCAGAGGCAGCCGCCTGGGGGGCCAGACAGAACCTGGTCTGCGAGGGAAGCCTGTTTAAAAAGCATCTCCCCTCGCAGACTGGCTGTCTGTCATCTGCACTGTTGCCTCTGTATCAGAGGCAGCAGTGCGGGGTGGCAGTAGCCCCTGTCCAGAGGTGGGTCTGAGCTCCCGGACTTGGTGTTCACTGGACCCGAGCCAGGCTGACCGGCTCCTAATACACTTTAAATGCAGAGCTGCAGTGGGAGTAGGTCCCAGACCTGGCGCAAGCCGGGCTGCTGGCCAACCTGCTAAAAAATGTACTGACAAGGGAGGGGAAGGGGGAAGGATGCATGTGGTCTGTAGCATTAACCGACCAGCCTGCTAAAAAATTTACTGGGGGGCGGGGGAAAGCATGTAGTCTATAGCATTAACTGATAAGCTTTTGCTTATCAGTTAACTGTCTCTATATAACATCCCTATCTTGCATTACACCTAATGTTTACTGGGGCACATGGGGCATCAAATTTATTTCACTTTGTTTATACAAGGAATACAAAGTGCAATGGGACTTAGTTTTGACTACTAGGGATATTAATTGCAGCTCATCAGCTAATCGAGTGTCCTGGCTCAGGGACACTACACCTCACCCCTCTCTGCTCCCCAAATCGCAGAGACAGTGCTGGAGGGGAACTGGCTTTTAAGCCAGCTCCCTCCAGCACCAGCTCCTGTTCCCCTCTTGCTGCCTCTGCAAGTAGTTGACTAGTCTCTTACATCCCTACTACCTAACATTTGCCATTCTTCCCATGAAAAGATTTTGTTTTGACAATACTTTCTGCCCAAGACTATATCTGAAAGTATGAGAATCTCTTACCTTCTTCTTCATTCCATATGAGATTAGATATGCAAAACATGGCAGCAAGCTGAAGTTTAGCATTCGAATGACTCTGAATATAGAAACAGAATTTTTGGAGATTCAGAAACTAAATATCACAGAACTTTTTACATTTTTTAAGATTCATTTAAAGACTGAGGTTGGGCAATTCCTCATCCACAATTTGCACTAAAGACACTTCTACTATTTAGGGCAGCCAGGTACAGTGCTCACTGAACTAAGAGGTACTTTGTCCTTCATTTCAAAACAGATTCTACCTTCACCATGTTGCATTCGCTACACTAACCATACAGCAAAGTGGCTCTTGCTGCTGCCACTCTCATCTGGCATCATGTCAAATCCAGTCCAGCCTCCCAGCCCTCAGGAAGACTGTACCAACCACACTGCTGCAGAGCATAACTCTGTTTTCCTCAGACTTCCTTTCTATTTCCTGACGCTCACTCTCAGGCAGCTCCCCTAGACTGCTGTGTTTGTTATGCTTGAGATACCAGCACATTCTCTTCACCACAGTTATAAAATATGTGTTTTGATTCTGCCTTGGCCTGTTGTTCAAGAGGCACCAACTGGAAGGATAGCTATGTCAGATTCTGCCCTCATTCCAACAGCAACTAGCTTGGTTTTTAATAGTATTGGGGGAACATTCCTCTGCTTACTTTTCTTCTTTCTTGTATATTTTTCTGAACAAAGCTGTTTCTCAGAATCTCACAGAAAATTCCAGTAGAAGCCTGCAGAACACTAATTGCAGCCTGAACTTCTGCTCTGAGAGCGCTACAGAAAATTCCAGTAGAAGCCTGCAGAACACTAATTGCAGCCCGAACTTCTGCTCAGAGAGAGCCAGCAAGACTCAGTGTAAACAGATAAGTTACTATCCTGTCAACCTCGTGTTCCAGAAATCTGTTAGCCAAAAGGCCTTGTGATGTGATGGAGCTGCACAACAAGAGACCCTTCTTGCTATGGCTTCCCAAAGTCCCCTATATGGGGAGCTCTATGGAAAACAGAGCTAGAGCTGAACTGGTTGTGTAACAAAGCATCAATCCTGGTGCTCACAGACACATCCCTTCACTCTGTTCCAAGGATTAGTTGTGCCTTTAATGGCGAGTTCATGGAGCATGATAGATGTCATGTGACTGCAGGCTGAGAGGACGTGAGTAGGCTTGAGAGAGGAGATACCAAACATATGGAGCTGGCACTCCCTTTGAGTTACAATCATTGGCTGCACACCCCCAACTCAAACCGATTTGGTGGCCCACTAATGGAGATGGCACTCCTTCCCCAAGCCCTGCTGTGCGGGACTGGCCCAAGCCACCTGGCACTGCTACTCTGGAATGCTCTTCCAAGCCTACCCGGGGTCATGCACCACAGTTTGAAAACCTCATGAAGCTATTACTAAATGGCAGGCAAAAATCTGGGGGTTGGGGGTTGAGACATGCCCTTGCATGCCCCCCTTTCCTTATTTGTTGCTTCTGCACCTCAGATGGGGAGCGTATTATTTGGAAAGGGGAAAGTAGCTTAAAATGTTTGAAACCCATCGACCTAGCCCAAAAGAAGCAGCAAAGATGAGCTTCTCTCAATTTGTCCTAATTTGATGCTAGCCAATGGGGAACAGATCAGTGTTAACAATGGCACACAGGTAGGTTAAACAAATACTGGAGTCCATGTTTGCCTTCAGCTAAGTAGCATGCAAGGGAGCACACACTTGAGAGGCTGAAAGAACCTGTTATTCTTCTGGCGTTATGCAAGGCATTTCTTTTCAGAAGGGCTACTGAAGAAGCACTGTTGTTAGCGCTGATGTGCAGTGTTCAGATTACGTATCTGTGCTCTTTTATTATTGTGTGTTTTGGGCTTGCTGTTTCTTATTTACGCTGTTTACATAAATGTCAGAAGTGCCCAGGATGCAGATATGGGGCCTCTTGTTTTGTACAATTAAACACTGACATTAAATAGGCTGGAAAGGCCTGGAAGCTGAAGGATCTTGCTGCCTATGGAAAGAGGGAGGCCAAGAACCACTAGGCATGGATTAGCAAGCCACTAGGGTACTGCAGCTTCTTTTTCTTGCTGCTGAGGTCCGGAGGATTGGAGTCTGTGCTCCCAAACTCCCCCGACACCAAACAAGCGATTACATATCAAAACCTACCAGACGCAACTATCTAATTTAGGATGAAACACCTTCTATTGCATTACTATCTAATGCTACAGGTGTACTTTAATACACGATATGGCTGAGAGTCTTCATTTCTAGGTTTCCCTTTTGACTGAACTGCCAGCTTTAACACTGCATTCATATAATTTTTCAACTGAACAGACATGCTCTCTCTAAGGGTGGATGAGAGGGTACACCCTTCAAAGCAATTCCCCATACCATGTAATACTTAATTTTCTGCAAGATGTCATCATTGGTCATAATGAGTTCTTTTGCTGTCGTTCCATCAGCTATGTTGGCAAGTATACATAATGTCTGAAAAAGAGAGAAAGTTGTCATTTGCAGTCCATCTGTGAATCATAGTTTTCCTGACACTTCTAACCTTTCATGGTAAACTTTTCTTTATTAGATTCTGGAGTTTCTAGACTGTTTACCAAGTACTCTGTTGGCTCGGTGCCACTGATTTCAGTGGTGTTATGCCAACAGAGAATTTAGCCCATAGCTTTTGTCTAAACCACATCAACAGAGCAATCAGTCATTTTAGACTTGATTCTGACCACCAGGGAGGAATGTGCAAGAAATCTGAGTGGAAGGCAATTTGTGTGAAAGTGATAATGAAGTAACAGATTTCATGATTCTAAAGGAAAGAAAGGTGAGAGTAAGTAGCAGAATAAGGGAAGTGGTCTCCAAAAAAGGAGACTAATAAACTCAGAAAACAAGTAGTTACTGTCCCATGGGAAGAAAGTTAAGGAAAAACAGAATTCTGTGCTGGCAGTTTCTTAAGGAGACAATAGTACAGGCACAACTACAACTGTCCCAATGCAAAGGACAGACAGGAAGAATAATAAGAAGCCAATATAGCTCCATTAGGAGCTTTTTATTGACCTGAAAATAAAAAAGTATCTTACAGAAAGTAGAAAAGTCGATGAATTAATGAGGTTTACAAAAGAACAGCAGAAACACATAGAATCAAAAGTCAGAACACAAGTTACAACACAAAATGAGTTACATCTACCAAGGGACATAAAAGGCAAGAAGAGATACTTTAAATACATTAGGATCAAGAGAAAGATTAAGGGAAGCATAGACCCTTAACTCAGTGGTCAAGGGGAGCTAATAACTGATGACATCAAAAGGCTGAGGTGTATAATGCCTATGTTGCTTCAGTTTGTCACTAACAAGGTTAATAGTGACCAGATACTCAACACAATTAATATTAACTACAAGGGGAAAGGAACACAAGTCAAAATAGAGGGAAAGAATCAGTTATATAAGTTTTATATAAGTTACATGAATTTGAGTAAGCAGAGCCTGATGAAATTCATCCTAGGGTACTTAAGGAATTAGCCAAAGCAATCTCAGAACCATAAGCAATTGTCTTCAAGAACTCATGGAGGACAGATGAGGACCCAGAGGACTGGAGAAGGGCAAACATAGTATCTATCATTTGAAAGGGGAAATAAAGAGAACCAGTCAGCCTTTGATACATGGAAAGATAATGAAACAAATTATTAAATGATCAATCTGTGAGTATCCAGATAACAACAGGACTATATGGAATAGCCAGCATGGACTATTATAACTAACAAACATAGGAACGGCCATATTGGGTCAGACAAACAGTCCACCCTGCCCAGTGTCCTGTCTGCTAACAGTGGCCAATACCAGATGCCCCAGAGGGAGGGATCACAACAGGGAATCCTCACATGATCCCTTCCTGGTCACCCACCTCCAGAGAAACAGAGGCCAGGGACACCATTCCTACCCATCCTGGCTAATAGCCACTGATGGACCTAACTCCTAAGAATCCTAGCTCTTTTCTTTAAACCCTGTTAAAGTCCTAGCCTTCACCACATCCTCTGGCAAGGAGTTCCAGAGGGTTGACTGTGCACTGAGTGAAGAAAAACTTCCTTTTGTTTTAAACCTGCGGCCTATTAATTTCATTTGGTGACCCCTAGTTCTTATATTGTGGGGAATAAGTAAATAACTTCTCCTTTTTCACTTACAGACTCATAGACTTTAAGGTCAGAAGGGACCATTATGATCATCTAGTCTGACCCCCTGCACAGTGCAGGCCACAAAATCTCACCCACCCCTCCTAGAATAATCCTCTCACCTATATCTCAGATATTAAAGCCTTCAAATACTTTGAAGACCCCAAGATGCAGAGAATCCTCTAGCTGTGATCTGTACCCCATGATACAGAGGAAGGCGAAAAACCTCCAGGGCCTCTGCCAATCTACCCTGGAGGAAAATTCCTTCCCGACCCCAAATATGGCGATCAGCTAGACCCTGAGCATGTGGGCAAGACTCATCAGCCAGACACCCAGAAAGTTCTCTATAGTAACTCCTATCATCCCTCCATTGACCTATTTCCCACTGATAATGAATGGTCAATTAGATACCAAGATCATGTTATCTCATCAAACCATCCCCTTCTTAAACCCATCTAGTTTAATCTTGAAACCAGATAGATCTTTTGCCCCCACTACTTCCCTTGGAAGGCCATTCCAGAACTTCACTCCTCTAACTTTTTCCACACCAGTCATGATTTTATAGACCTCTATCATGTCCCTCTTAGTCTCCTCTTTTCTAAGTTTAAAAAGTCCAAGTCTTTCATCTCTCTTCATATGGGACCCGTTCCAAACCCCTAATCATTTTTGTTGCCCTTTTCTGAACCTTTTCCAATGCCAATATATCTTTTTTGAGATGAGACGACCACATCTGTACGCAGTATTCAAGATGTGGGTGTACCATGGTTTTATACAGAGGCAACACAATATTTTCTGTCTTATTCTCTATCCCTTTTTTAATGATTCCTAACATTCTATTTGCTTTTTTGACTGCCGCTGCACACGGAGTGGATGTTTCAGAGAACTATCTACAATGACTCCAAGATCTCTCTTCAGTAGTTGTAGCCAAATTAGTCCCCATCATATTGTATGTATAGTTGGGATTATTTTTTCCAATGTGCATTACTTTACATTTATCATCACGAGTTACAACCTAATTTCTGTCTTTGAAAGGAGTACTGGCTTAGTGGATGGGGGAAGAAGTAGATAGATCTTGATTTTAGAAAAGCTTTTGACAATTTGCATATGAGGATGGCACGTGGGACTAAGGAATGGGGTCAAGATGAATTTACTATATGGTGGGGTGCGCACGTCATTGAAAGGTTGCACTCAAAGAATTTGTCAATGGTCCTTTGGGTGAGAGTATCTTGTAGGGTCCCACAAGGCTCAGTTTTGGGTCTGGTAGTATTTAATAATTTCATTCAAGATGTGGATAATGGAGTGGACAGTGCTTATAAAAGAAATGGTCCCTGACTAACTGTAATGCATGTCTGCATCACTCTTAAAGACGGGAGGCAGACATGCATTCCATGTAGAATGCAAGCACACCCAATGTGCTGGAGCCAGAGCCTTTTGCGTAGCAGTACCTGTCGAGGGTGGTGCTCATGCCTTCCTAGACTGGCTATATGAGGCAGTGCTGCTTTGATCCCTTGTGTTCCCATGAGAGGAGACTTCAATGCAGATGGAACAGAGGGTGAGTCGTGCAATACGTGTCTACATCACATCTCAAAGAACCACAGTTACAGAGGTAACTTTGCATAGATGCAGACATGCATTCCAGGGAGGGGACCCGTTAGCAGCATCGCAGTTTGGAGGGCAGAACTCAGAGTCTACTAAAATAAGGCTCACAGGACCATCCTTCCAAGGCTTGTGTTCACTCTGAAAGGCGCGACAATTTAGGTAGATTATAGCCCGGCATGGCGTCGCAACGCGATCAGTGCATGCGCAGCGTGCTGAACCACGCGGCTGGCGAGCGGAGCTCACCACGACTTGTCGAGCCCTGTGTATGAAGACCCATGTGACTACCCTCCAAAAGTCCAGTGCAACTTCTTAGGATGAGGCCCTTATAAATATGGAATAGTAGAGGATTTACGTGGTGTTGCTCGGGTCTTTGTGGGGGCTCAGGGCAGGGGATGGAAGGGTATAGGAGTCAGATTAAGAGAATGGGAAGTGTGGGGGCTCACAGCAGGCGACTGGGAGATGTGGGTGGGCTTCCTGGGGGTGTGCTGGGTGGCCAGCAGTAGTTCCCTGGGCCCAGCAGGGGCTGCACTTCACACCCGGGGTTCCCCCGGGGTCCAATGTTGGAATCAAGGGGACTGGAGTGGTTTGGGCACCAGTTCTGGGGCATAGAGGCCAGCACTGAAACCTTACCCATTGACAGCAACATCCAGAGCCCCTCTCCCAGCCACTCTGTCTTACAGTGCACCTGCCCCCTTGTTGTAATTTTTCAGCATAACTGTCCCTGCTAGCATTTTATGAGAAACAATTACATTCCAGGTACATCCCATTTTCTTGGCACAACCAATCCTTATGTTGCTTTAAGTTCCACTCAGAGGAAGCTGCATAGCAAGTTTGGTGGTCCTAGCTCTTACTAGGGATGTGAAGCACTAGTAGACTCTCATATAAGCAAATGCTTATTGGACAGGCTAGTCGACTAGTCGTTTCCATCTCGTTGCTGTCCCTATCAGAAAGAGGCAGAAGGGGCGGGGGGGACGACAAGGGGGTACTTCAAAGCAGCAGCGCTGCATGGAGCCTGGGTCCAGACCCCAGGCTGGATTACCCAACAGGCAGACTAAGCACGTGCTTAGGGCACTAGCAAAGCAGGGGCACAAAAAAAAAAAAAAGAGGATTTTATGGTATAGTATTGTTTTTATTTTGAATTACATATGGGAAGCAACATAATCTTTTCAGTTCTTAGGGCCTCTAAAGGCCTTAATCCGGCCCTGCCCGGGCTCCATGTCGCGCTGTCACTTTGAAACACCATGTGCAGCCCAGGATCAGCTGGGGAGTCCCCTGCTGATCCTACAAGGAGCCTGACGCTGTGCTCCCCACAGCATTTTAAAGCAGCAGTGCTGCACGGAGCCCGGGGTCAGCGCTGCATGGAGTCTGGGCTCCATGGGCGCTTTCACCTTTGAAATGCAGTGACAACCCTCAAAGGTGGAGGCGCCCTATCGGCTAATCAAACAGTTGATGCAAAATGCATCGACTATTTGATTAGTCAGTTACTCGCAATTTAACATCCCTAGCTCTTTCTGTTTTGGAGTTGAACAGACAGACTCACGGATGGACACACAGACAGATGCACAAGCTCTCACAGATATATAGCAGATGTGCTCCTTGCCAATCCTTCTGGATAGGCCTTTCCATGACATTTCAAAAACAATTCAATCTGATAAATTAAATAGCTAATTCCTTGAATTACCTGAGATACAGGCCATTCTAGCCACTGATCTGCATATGCTCAAATGTTTCCTTATCTGCCTTTATCAAGTTATTTCTGACTTCGTAATGATCAAGATTTCCATGTTATCTACTATACATTTAAGAGAGTTTGTCTGTCTGTACAAGAACCCCTCAAACAGTAAGAGCTAGGACCACCAAATTCTGCATACAGCTTTCTCTTATCGTAACTTAAAGCCAAGTCAGGGTTTGGTTGTGTGTGGAAAGTGGGATGTGCCTAGAATATGATTACTTCTGATAAACCCACACAGAGGAGAGACAGGATCACCAAGCAGGTGAAGGGCTGCCTGGGGGCGTGCGCCTCCCCTCCCTGTCTGGGATTGCCCCAGCCCTGAACCTTCCATCCACCAGGTGCCCTTCAGCGAGGGTTGGGGGGGTCCTGAAGTTCTCCCCACCCCCAATTCGTATGGAGATACTGTTGGCTGTTTCCCTTAGAGAGTGAGGGGAAGTGCACAGTGTGTTGCATTCCTCACTGTGGCTGGGGAGCGCAGGGGGCAGAAGAACCTGGACTTGCCCTAGCTGGGGGAAATGCCCCACCCCCCCAGCTGTGCCTGCTGGAGCTGCAGCAGTCACGGAGAGGCACTTCTCACCTGGCCTCAAGCTGCTGCAGTGAGAGGGCTGGGGATGTCCTCTCTCCCCTGGGCAGCCTGCACACCAAACCCCTCGTCCCCTTCCAGAGCAATGATTCAAATGAAGCATGGACATTTTCATTTTATTTTCCAAAAACCAAAAATTAATTCAGTTAAAGACTCAAGGAGCAACACCGGGCAAAACTTCTAGTTATATATAAATTTAAAAAACCAGTTGACTATCTGCTATTTTGGAATTAAAGCTACCTTTCTTCTTCCTTCGGCGTCTAGCTCTCCTCCTCGCGGACTCTGCATGATCTCTGCAGCCTGGCCATCAGCAGAGTGTTTTGTGAGTGAGTTCTGTTCTCACTATCCTGGCAAGGTGCCAGCCACTCTCTCACCCATCTCCCCAAGCAAAAGCTCCATTTCCCCTCTATCTGCTGCTGCATCCCTCATGTCCAGCAAGTATCCCTCCCCTCAACACCACAGCGTGACTCCACTTCTCCTTCAGCCAGTGCTATCTTCTCCAACTTCCACACAGGCATTTTCTCATTCTCCTCTTTTCTGCCTCTTTGCGTTCTTCTCCCTTCTCATTCTTCTTGTGCTGCTTCTCCTCAACCTTACCCTCTTTAAGAGCCTGTATTCTCCGTCATAAATAGGTCTACATATCTACCCTAATCATGAACTCAGACGTAAAAAGTGAGTGAAAGTTCCTAAGTGTCACAATAGCCAGTAATAATAAAACATTGATGGGAAAAGTTGCAAAAGGGAGACAAACTATGAATTAGCCCAAACAAGAAGGCCTATTGATATAATTCAAGAACTGAGTTAGGAAAAAGCCTGGTAACCAAGAAAAATGTGGGAGAAAAATCAATGTGCCAAAATTGGGGCATCATAAACTAGACCTAAATGTTGGACAAAATAATGAAGGGATGGGCTATTCCATCCATCAATCCCTTTCTGGGTCCTTAAACTTTTGGGAGAAAAATTAAGTATGGGAGCAAGTTTCCATGGTTTCCATCCCCACCATCTCCTGAAACCCTGGACCATAGGTGCCAATGCCATGGGTGCTCTGGGGCTGGAGCACCCACAGGGAAAAAGTAGTGGATGCAGAACCACCACCAGTGCCAAGTTTCCCCTCTGCTTCCTTCTCCCGCACCTCTCGCCAGTGCCAAGTTTCCCCTCTGCTTCCTCCTCCCATACCTCTCATGTGTCAGTGGCACCACGTTGACCAACTCTCCCCTTCCCAGAGTACCACAAACAGCTGATTCACAGATGCAAGCTGCAGGAGGAAGGAGGAGTGGGGATAGGACATGCTGGGGGAAGAGATGAGGGAGTGAAAGGGGTGGAGCAGGAGCAAAGCCTGGAGAAGAAGAGGGGGTATCAAGAACCCCTGGCCAGAAGAGAGGACTGCCTATGTCCTGGACCTTCCTTGTCCTAATCCTGACAGAGAACATGACCAGACCAGATTCACTGCCACCTCCACCAGCTCCAGTTAAATCCATAATACCACTGGGAAAGAGGCTCTTCCTCTCCTCCATCCAAGTGTCCGTTATCTTCTA